GCATGTTTCACAGTATACCCCACTCAATTACAGTGGGAACAAGGGGATGTCAAAATCTCCGCGCCACCACAAGTTGTTTTAAAATCAAACAGAAAGCCAATCACTGGCATGTATAGGCAGAAAATCCACCTGTTAAATACCTGCATAATGAATCGCCAGGCTCCAGGAAGGAGGCTAGGCTAGATAAGAAATGCAGATTCACTGTCATCTAATGTGATTTAGAAGGACTGAAAGAGCCACTGCAAAATCCCTATCTCGGAAATCAGCCCAGTGTGTGGGGAGCCAATGCATAAATTCATCTAGGCAAAGAGTAGATGCTCAATTCCTGGAACCAAAAAGCTGCCAACCTCATCATGGACCTGTCAGGTGGAAGCCCCAACAACGCATGGGATGGTGACCTCTGGGGACATGGCAAAGGTGACTTCTCTCTTTCACTATTGCTCAAGAAACTGCCATTCAGAATCATTTCCTGATGGGCTAGGGACTCAGAGTGGCTAAGGCACCCAAACTCCTGCCGGGTATATGGGAAGACACGGAGAATTCCTTTACACTGCTAAGCTAATGTTAGTGCCCTGTGGCCGAGGAGAAGTTCGTACTTGTGGAAGGTTTACCTTCGTGGGCTTTGTGTCACTCTTGTGCTGAGGTTTGATTCAGGTTTACACACAAAGAATAAACAGATGAGGGTTTTCAGGGAATTGCTCCATATACGCATATGAGCATCCACCCAAGAGCAGCTCTGTGCCTGTTACAGTCCTTTGATTCACGCTGGGCATCTTGGGTATAGGTGTTCATATTTTTCTCTGCAATCCTTTGGTTTGCAAGGTAGACTCTTGGGAAACAAAGTGTTAGAGTAAAGCCCTAGGAGCTGGTGCCTAGGAGAAGGAGAGATTTCAAACACTTCTCCTCAGCCTAGAGGCTAAGTCTGCCCTGAGTGGGGTGTGGTGGATGAATTCCTGTCTGGTATCCTCCAGCAGGGTTCAAAACAGTGATCCATCACCCCTAAGGACACTGACTCTGGTTTTCCCCCATGCACCTGATCTTTTCCGTATGCCTAGTGAATAAGATGAAGTCCTGGCATAGTGGTTGGAATAGATCCGGATTCAGTTTGCTCCGGATTTGAATTATGATTTCTACTCTCATTTGTCCAAAAGTGGGAATCATGTGTCTGTTTAATTTTAGGTGACCTGCACTAAATTTCAGAGCAGGTTATTCTCTTTTAATCCTTCTGAATAGGTCAAATCGAAGGTCTCCATAGCTCCAGTTGGTGCTGGAAGCAAATGCCTAACAGTGACTGGGTTCACTTCTAACCTCAGTCCTGGCAGCTGCAGATGAGCAACTATGTCAGCTGGAATCTTATTAGCATTGTTTTACTTTAACATTTATTTTCAGGTTCACCTTCCAATTACAAGTAGTACTTTTTTTCATTGAAGCTAAAATACACATTTTATGATAAATATACTGAAATTTTAAAAGTGAATCCAGTAAATAATAACTAATGCCCCAGGTGGCCACAAAGATAAGAAAAATCATGACAAAATGGGAATGCATAACATTTGGAAAACACAGTATCCACCAAAGGTCATATCATATGGGCAAATGGGAGAGAAAGGGTTCAGGGGCAGCCTGGTAGAAGTCAGGATCATCTGAAAACCTTGCAGGAGAGCAAAGTCAGCTGGGGAGAGCGGAGGCTGCAGAGTGACCAGGCAGGTGCTGGAGAAGGTGGCATTAACGAGGCTGGCAAGGAAATCCAGCAGAGAAAGTGGAGAGGGTGTCTTCACAGGGAAATGAGAGAGGTGAGCAGAGAAGGCAAAGAGCTTAAAAAGAATACTTAGGGTGCAGGAAGAGCCGTGCTAGGGGCGAGGACCAGCTGCAGGACTGAGCTCTTTTAGTGGGGTGGGCGGTACAAAGACCAGGACAATGCCTTTGGGTTCTACAACCTGAGTTCAAATGTGAGTGTTGGCTCCTAGAACCATTTGCCTTGGAATAACACCTAAGTCACTGAACCGTAGTTTGCTCATCACCTGTAAGACAGGATAATAATAATACTACAAACTCTGCTTGTAAATTCTCAGTAAGCGCTGGCTGTTGTCATCCATCCATGGCTGAGCCCCACCCTGCTCATGCTGAGAACTGCACCATCTTGTAGAATGAGCCCCATCCAAGGCTTCCAGCTTGTCCAGCCTAGAGAGGCCAAGTTCAGCTGAATTTCAGGCGAACAACAGACATGTTTTAAGTCTAGGTATGCCCAGATGTTCCGTGATTGCTCTATTTCTTAGCAAATTTCAGAATTTACATGAACCATTTAAAACTGTATGCAAACCTAGTGTATGCATGCATTTTGAAACGGGAGGAGGGTGTTTGTCAAAGAACCAGGAAGACTAAGCTGTGGACCATGCTTCCTACAAAAGAGAATGTGTCTGCTTCCACCTCCCTTTGTCTTTAGAGTATATTAAAGTATATTTAGTCCCATTCTATTGCAGAGCATGGTGATGCTCTTGGCAAAATGTAAGGAGCCTAAGTTGAAGTGCCCTGTGTCCAAGGTACCACTTGTGTGCTACACTGTCCTTCCTAGTCTCCCTCTCCACACGTGGCTTCTCAGGAAGTGATTCGCTTTGTCTGTAAACAAAGCCCCTTAGAGAGAGATATAAATACTAGTTAATGTGAAAGCACACCAGCAGGGTGGCAATCATCTGTATAACTTTAGGGAAAATGTCTTCCTGGCAAGACTTAGAAGGCAAGTGAATTTACCTGGCAGACAGGAGATGTCAGGCCTCGGGGTAAGACAGAAGCAAAACTGACAAAGTGAAGCATACAGAAATCTGGAGTTGTAAGCTTAAATATTCCTGAAACATCTAGAAATGCATTCTAAGATAGAGTCTTAGGATTCAGCAAGCCTAAGGAAAAGCCGAGAGCTTTCTCGCCTCTACCTGAAAATACCCATTGGATAGGAAATCCAGAAAGCAAACCCAGCCTAGGAACTTGAATCTGAAGATCTGAGACCCCACTGCATACACACTGCACAAGGGCTGGCAGGAAGGAAGCAGACAGAGAGGGCCGCTGCCATGCCACAGGGCTGTGCCCTTTCCATCAGTCCTTTCTTTAAAGAACAGTGAGGGACAAAGACAAAGATAGAGAAAGAAAATACACAGTGGAAAATGTTAACCAGGGTTTCGCTTCTGCTCCACCATGCTCCATTTCCGCAGGCACCGGAGTGTACACGGATAATGTGGAGAATGAAGTGAGCTTTCTAAGGCACGGGCAGCGCAGTGTGCAGGGCAACAGCGGGCCAGGTGCTCTGGGTCCCTAAGTAGTCAAAGTACATTAACAGGGGGCTGGGGAGAGGAAGGCCAGAAAATGCACATGTATTTTAAGCTATTGGTAAAGTCTTACATTTCAAAGTGACAGCAGGCTACAGCAGTCCCCCTGCTTGCAGGGGGTATGTACCAAGGCCCCCAGAGGGTACCTGAATCTTGGGCTAGTACAGAACCCTGTATGTATACTATGTTTCTTCCAAACATATGTACCTATGATAAAGTGTAAGTTTTAAATTTGGCACCGTAAGGAATTAACATAACTAATAATAAAACAAAAAGTATAACAATATTCTGTAGTCAAGGTATGTGAATGTAGGTTCTCTCCAAATACCTTATGGTCCTGTCCTTAGCTTTCCTCTTGTGACGACGTCAGACAACATTTAAAGGAAGCACTTCAGGCATCTCCCGGTTTAATGCCAGCATCCCTACTCTTGCGCTTAAGCAAGGGCAAGTTGGACGCAAGCACTGTGATGGCAGTCCATGTGACAGCCATGACCAGTGCTCAGTGACCAGTGGGCCATTGTGAACCACGTGTAGACAGAGGGATAATTCCTATCACTGGGGAGACAGAGCAGGAACGTTCCATTTAGAGTTTTCGTCGGTACATGTTTGCAGTACCTTCCTTGTGGGGAGTTGGTACATGTGCATAACACATCAGAATTCCTTTCCCTCCCCTGCATCTCTTGGTCCCTTCTCTTCTAATATTTTTGGAGAATGCAACTGAAACTAGAGAAAGCGAAACCCTGGTTATACAATGTCTTCTAGCTAAAAAAAAAATCACAGCCACTAAGTGGTTGACAATTTTAGATGCTTCAGTTTTCAGTTGCCATCACTGTTAGTTCAATAATTTTGTCTTAAATTTGTATCTGATCTGCTTCAGCAACTTATAAACATATTTATGCCGAGGCCAGATGAGGAACAACGTAATTCTAATTTAGAATTATGTAATTCTAGAGGGGAAAAGGAGCTATTTAAAGGAGAGGATCTTTATCTGAGGTCCAGGACCCGTCAAGAGGTACATTAAAATATAGGATACCAGCTAAATTAGTGCTTCAGATGAACAGTGAATAATTTCAGTCTAGGTTTGTCCCAATATTGGACAGCAGCCCTATTTATGAACACATTTCAGAAGATCCATGACCCCTTGAACTGTACACAAATTTGGTTTGCAGATGCATTTGAAAAGAAGATTGGCTGTAGCTGTCTTTGCACAGCAGTGACCTCCCAGCAGCAGTTAGTTCGATCGAGTCCCCTTTCCCGTGGCCTGAGCTTCGTAGCAGCCAAAGCAAAAGAGAAACACAAAGGGCAGTTTACCGAACAGCACCTGCAAGGAACAGTCCCAGCCCGAGTACTGCTGGATGTGGCTAAATGGCCGGCAAATAAGAGGAGATGCATGGGGACAAAGTGAGCCTGGCAGGGTCCTGACCTTTCAAACAATCATTGGTGCATCGCTAACCATCTGCTTCTCAGACAGTGGATGGGGAGAGAAGCCCCTTTGTAGGGGAGACCAGAAGGAGCCTCGGGTGGGCGAGGGGAGCCAGTCCGGGGCCGGTGTTCCTCAAGGGTCCGGTTCAGTCTGGCCCAGCTTCCAGGTCTTTCGCACCCCACTCCAGGACCCATGGGTGAAGCCCCCTCCCCACGTCCAGCCGGCCCCCTGGGGTTAGGGTGGTGTGGAGCAGGCTTTACCGCTGTCACTGGAAGTAGGCCCTGAGCACAGCTGCTTCGGCTGCCATTTCCTCCTCGGATCTCCAAGAGGCCGGGCGGTCTTCCTCCTCTTTGTCGTGTTTCTCCAGCTTCGGGGAAAACAGAATAGGGTCACCAGTGGGTTCTTGGAATCTCCTTGAATGAATGTTGGGGGGAGGACTGTATAGAATTTGCATATCAGAGGCAGATAGCCTTGAAAATGAGATTTCATGTAAGAATTCACATTTGTAGCTTCTCTCATAAAATATCCAGACAAGGCTGCACGACAGCCCTTTGTGGTCTCCTCACTGTCTGCTCTGCCGAGGTTGGACCGTTGGGACAGATCGAGGCAGGGCAGCGGGGAGTACCCTTCCATCCCCACATCCTTCCACTCTGGTTCCTTGGGGTCCATAATCACCATCCACATTTTGTGCCTCAGACACTGAAGACCTGCGCCTGCCCAGGACCATTCCTCTGAGCCGGCTGGGGTTTACCTGCTGCTCTCTCTGGTTTAGCCTCTTAGGTGAGCTATGAGCAGCTTTACTCTGTGAACCAAAATAACCCAAGTAAATTTACGATCATGCTGCAGTGGCCATGAATACTGAGAAGCTGTTCTTGCCATTAAAAGAGGCTTTAAGCAGTGACGTGTTGAAAACTATTCAATAAGAAAACAACTTCAAAAATTAACGGTCTTAGTCAATTGAGTTATTTTGAAATCCTGCTTAAATATCAATATTTGTTTAAAAAACAATTTGTGTATTTTAGATTTCCATATAGAGTGAATAGAATTTTAATTCTATCAGAGAAGCTTTTGAGGGTGACTTTTGAAAAGGTGGCTCCTCTCCCTTTCATTCCACACGCATGTGGTTCCCTTGAGTGGCCGTAAAATGCTACAGTGTAAGAGCCTCCTGGGACGCACAGCGCAATGTTTTGGGTGAAGTCAATGAAGGTGCGTGATTTTCTGGCACGGCCAGTGATGGCTAACATGGAGGATGTGAAGGGCTGTTTTCTGGTCTGCATGATTGCATTCACCCTTGCAGTAGCCGTAGGCAGGTGCTGCTAACCCATTTATCAACCTGGAAACCGAGGTCTGGGGAAACTCAATTCCTGGTGAAAGACCACTCGGGTAGGTACCAGCAGGCTCCAGCCCTGACCCCCTCCAATCTTGCCCCGCCCTTTCTGGAGGATATGCACAAAGAATGGATGATTCCGCATACACCGTTTCACTCCACCACCCGTATTCACCCGAAAGTCAGCTTGATACTTCCAAGATAATCTTGCCGATTCAGCCAAAAGACTACGACGAAAACAGTGGAGTTTGTTATCTCAGGCCCCAAACACCCTAAATCTAATCCAGATGCCCCCACCTGGGCAGCTGGCAACAGATGGAGAAGTTGCCCTGTTTATTTCATAGCAAACTTGGGGCAGAAGGCAAAGCAGCCAGAGAACAATAGCCTGGCTCTCCAGCTGGGCTGTATTTTTCACACTAAGTTGGAGCCCAAATGAGGTTCATTAGCATATAACTGTGCCACAAATATGTTTATGAGGGTCATGGATCTTCTTTCAGAATGTGGCTGCCAGCACACTGGTTTTACATTTTGCCACACAGATTTAATTCTCCTTAGTGGAAGAAAACCACATTAAGAAGTCATTTCCTTCCTTGCAGAGGGAGGCGGAGGCGGAGGCGGAGATGACGCACTTGCTAGAGGCAAGTCAGCCGGGATTGCTATTCTATTCAGGAACTCATTTTCATTTTGATACTACCTTTAGGTCTGTTATAAATCCATCTTGTAACAGCTCGATGGGATGACAACGGACAATGCAAAGCCTGGAAAATATGGCCTTGCCACTCGTGGTACTGCCGTCAGAAGACAGAAATCAAGCATGAAGTGGCCTCATCAACACAGATCCTACCAGACGAATCCAGATAATTCAGAGCCGGGATCATTAATGCCTTCTTGGTTATTAGGCGACCGTCTGGTATTGTCATATGCCTTACAGATGGCAGCATTGTGCCAACACTTAGAAGTTGTTTATGGGAACTAGGAAATAAAACAACTAATCATATTTGCTAAACTGTTGTACATGGTTTTTAAAATTTAGAGAGACTTTCCTCCTAAAAGCCCCGGATGGAAGCATCTTTTCTTTAGAACATCTCAACCCTGGAAGCCTATTGAAATCATCTGGGAGACTTTAAAAAGATATATAAAACTCACCCCAGGGATTTAATGGTTTTAGGCCTGAAACAAATACTTCCCAGGCAATTCCAAGGTGCACTCACTGTTGAGAAGCACCGCTCTGAAGAAGAGTGCGTGTGTGTGTGTGCGCGTGTGCGCGCGCAGCTAGATGTCACTGCACCCCAGGAAAGTCATCACCTGGTCCTCACGGGGCGGCTGCCAGAACCTCCCCAGGACCCCGAGTCTGCTAATGCTCATGTCCCTTACCTAAAATGCTGTGTGTTATCTGCATAGAACCTATGCATGTTCTCTAGTATACTTTAAATCATCTCTAGATTACATATAAAACCCGATCCAGTGTTCATGCTATGAAAATAGGTGTTGTGTTGGATTGTTTAGGTAGTAAGGACAAGGTGAACCATGAACGCACTCAGTGTAGGCACAATCCCCTCCCCCACACACATAGTTTCTATGCATGCTTGGTGGAATCCACTGATGTGGAACCCGTGGATGCAGAGGACCCATTGTAACATACTTGCCCGTAAGCCTACTGTTTGTGCTCCTTTACTTGTATCACAACTGCCCTTGGTAAACTGCTGTACCACTGCTTTCCTTCTGTTTACCCTGGGTCAAAGGGATGTCAGGGCCACAAGGCTTTGTCTCAACAGCTCAAAGATGCCAAGCCAGTCCACAAGACTTCAAATCAGTCTGCAGTCTCTGCAGGAATGAGGCAGCTGGGAAAGGCCCTGACTGGCAAGACTGTGTCCTAGGAGAGCTACCAGGAGACTAGGAGATTAACATGCTACACTCTGGAATAAAGTTACCTTTCCCAAAGCTGGCCTGAGAAACTGCAGCCCAGAGTCTTAGACAGTAGCTATGTAAAAGGCACCGTCTGCCTGGGGTGAGCTGCAACCAGAGTTTGACTCTTACAAGAGCCTTCCAGAGTGCTTCAGCCTGTTGGAAGGGAAAGGCGGAGATTACTTGTTATGAACCAGTTATTTGATCTGTTTCTGCAGTGCCAGCTCTGGTACTAAAATAGACAGGGTCTTTTACTCTTATCAGAGGACACCCACTTAGGGAGAATAGACACCAGATGGTTGGTTTTAGTGAGATGGGATTGGACACGAGAATACTGAGCAGAGCTCACCTAGCTGGAAAGGCTGTGGGAACCTGCCTCGGTGTCACCAAGAAGCAGTGTTATAATGGTGAGTGCTGGGATGGAGAGTTAGCTAGGAGCATCAGACAAGGGCTCTCCATGGGGATGAGACGGTGAACATGCTTTAAGCAGATTCCTTAACCTCCTTGTGCCTCGGATGCCCTCTCTGCAAAACAAAAGCTGTAACCCTAGTGAGTAGTGATGCTCCTGACACAATCAAGTGGTTGGAGTTTGATGCTGCTGATTACCAACTGCTACCACTACTACTCTTATTACAGACCAGATACACTGTCCCCGTGACAGGGCCCACTGACCAGCCCACTGGGCTTGTCTCCGGGACTAAAAGTACTTTCACTTTCTTCATGGTTCCCCAGCAATCTTTTGAACCTAACTACCCTGTGAAGGGATTAAAAGTAATGAGAATTCAGTCACAGCAATAAATTTTACTGGGACATTCAAGTCTGAGGAGGAAATTTAGCTCCTTCATCTCTAAAGTGACCCTCAATGACCCCCGGCTCTCAAGGTTGTTTCAAGGAGTTGGATATTAACAGAGGCTTCTCAGAGGTAAAAGATCAAGCAGAGAAGGTCCTGGGTAAAATTACCCTGGAGGCATGGTTGCCTGACTTAGCAAATGAAAATACTAAGATACCCAGGTAATTTTTCTTAGTGTAAGATGTCTCATACATTATTTTGGCCATACTTAGAGCAAAACATTGTTTGTTGTTTATCTGATATGCAGATTTAACTAGGCTTCTTGTGGTTTGCCTAGCTGCTCAACCTAGGTCCCCTAAGGAAGGTGCCAAGGAAGTACTGGGCTTGCATTCGCTAACTGGGCTGTTCCCAAGCCTGCCCAGCTGGTAAAACCAGAAAATCAGAGATTGTCCAAAGACAGGGCCAGCATATTGTGCCCTCTAGGGCTTGTTATTATTATTGAATAGAATCCAGTGGAAATCATCAGCACTATATTCATTCCATAATACATCTGTTCCAAGATGGATACATTTTCATATTTGAATATCTCTGAAAGCCAAACCTGTCTTCTAACCAACCACTTGCCACATTTGATTGGCAGTGCTTTTCTTTCTTGGTAGTACATAAAATAATAGCAGTTCTTCCAACTGCCTGTGTTTGGTGTTCAATGCACTACAGTTCTCCATCTCCTCTCCCCAGATTGTCACACAAGTTAATGCGACTGAGCTCACTGAGAAAATGCCCAGCACCACAGCTGATGCAACACATTTTCCTCTCCTTCTGATGCAAAGGCAAGAGGTAAAACTGTTCTCACAGTCCTTCGTTCTTTGGAGGACACGGCATGCCAAAGTGACAAAATTTGCAAAATCTTGGACCAAAATCTTTATCCACATTCAATAGTCTGAAGTCCATGATAGCCCTTGCAAGTGAATTCTATTTCTATACAGCTTTGAAAATAAACTTTTGGGGAAAAAAGTATCTGCAGTCATCCTTCTTCGTCTGCTTGAACTGACTTGCAGGGAAGGGAGTGTTAACAGGATTTCTGACTAAAGTACTGTATGTGTCGATTTTGACACTTGCTTCCCTCCTGTGCCTTGAGTGCATTATTGCAAGGTGTATGGGGTAATGATTAATTCTCTGATGCAATGCTCAAGCTGCCTTGGCTATTGATGTTTTTATAGCTCTGTAATGGAATACAGTAGGCAGAATGATTCACAATAATTTAAATGTCTCTCAGAATTTGAAACTAACCTGTAGTAAATGCCAAACTACCTTCAAAAGGGGGAAACCCAATTGAATGCTCCTCTTGAAAGTGGATGACTATAAACTTAGGTGTTATAAAAGTGATAACAACAAGATATCATTTCATAAGACAATATGCAGAGCAGAGTTTAAATAAACCACTTTTTGTGGGTTCATGGTTCTCTTTACGTAGGAATTTGTATAACTAATTTTTCAGAAGGAAAATAATTACATTGAATAAAGAAGTAAGTAAATCTTGCTTTTAAGCTGGGGATTAAACCCAGGGTCTCTTAAATGCTAGGCTAGCACTCTACTACTGAGCTGTGTCTCTAGCTTTTTAAGAATTTTGTTGCCCAGCTGAACTCAAACTTGTGATCCTTGTGTCTCAGGCTCCTGAGTAGCCCGATAAGTCTTTGTTTTCGAAAGATCTGATGCTCTGTTACAACTATTTTCAACACAGCTAACAAACTTTGTTCAGCACATGATACATCCTAGGCACTGTTCCAGGTCTTATGGAAGATATTTTGATGAATGAGCCAACAATCTTTGTCTTCTGGGTTTTGCCCCTCAAAAAAGGCAGAAAAACACATACATCCACAATTTCTATCAGTCAAACTGACCAAAGTACTAGGCTGGACGCTCCACCAGAGTGTTAGGATATCTGGGCAGTGGGAGAAATTCTTGCTAGATGAGAGTCCAGGATTCAGTTTTCAAAATCAGGGATTTGGACCAGGCTTAAAAGATGGCGGGTGGATTTCAAGGAAAGGGCTGCTCTGGGCGTGGGAACAGCTTCTGCAGGCTCTTGGTGCCTGGGCCGGAGCTGCTGCAGCTTGCACTCAGGGCCAGCTTCCCCAGGGAGTCACAGCAAGCTTTCTGGGTGAACCCTCAGGCAGCGTCTGTGCAGCTGCTATGCGTGCGCCAGGGCATCAGGACAGCTGAGGTTCAGGTGCCGTTTGGGGAGACCCGACCGGCCTCCAATGCTACACACAGCTGCAAACAGCTTGCAGGCCTACTGAGAGCAAGCTACTTCCTGCTCACTTGTCTCCAGGCTTCTGACTGACCAAGAAGTAAGTCCCAGAGGATGCCAGTTTGTCCTTAGCACGGCACCAACCCGACCTCTGACGGAGTCAGAGAGGCCATCCAGAGCCTAGCTAGATCTGCAATAAGACTGTTTTATTTAGGTCGTATTCATCTCATGGCAAACCATCGCAGCTCTCCTTTACAGGAAATGCGTCCAGTTGAAAACAGAGCTGTGGGAAATGTGGCACTGAACATGGCCTTCACGGGTCGGGGCTGGGAAATAGCTGACTGAGGAGGACCTGGGGGTGGGAGAAAGTGTCTGCACTTGAGGGCTGAAGCGGGGCCCAGCAGTTGGGAGCAGCTGTTCTCCCGGGGTGACCTTTGGGAGGCTTCAGAATATTTTGTGATCAGTGTTTGGGAATCAGTCATTTCATGTTATAAGAGCTCTGAGGAAAAACCAAATATAACGATTTGCAGGGATGACGGAACCTTCAGTAGGACCGGTTTTACCAGACAGCCTTCCAGAGGAGGGGACTCTGGAGTTGAGATGTGAGTGAGGAGAAGGAGTCCGTTAAAGGCTGGGACCGGAGGATCCCCAGCAGACGGAGGGCAGCGGCAGAGGCTCGGGAAGCAGGAAGCTTGGTGGGAAGAACCGGCTGGAAGGGTGAGCAGTGGAGAGCCCTGCAGCTTGTGCGTCTGGCTGAAAAGGCTGGATTTGGTGCAACGAGAACACGTTGAAGACTTCAAAGCATGAAGGTAAAAGGACCAGAATGACTGCATGAACTACAGGGCTGGAGAATAAAGCAGAGGGGGACAAATTACTGCAGTCCGACGGGACAGGGTGGGTGCAGGGCGTGGCGGACAAGGACGGGCCCAGGTGTCCCATAATCTAGCGTGGCTGTGCGTGAGGCGCCTTAGTCCCTCCATGCGACAGTCTTCTCCTCAGGCAGCACTTGTGGCATTTGTCTGCGAGGCCCACACTCCACCCAGCTGCTCTGAACCACTGTGAAAATCACTCTTCCTGCCCAATCTGCTGCACCTCGCTCCCACCTCGCCTCCTAGTGTCCCCAGCAGCCTTCCCGGATCAGTCGCATTGGCTCCAAGTCATGTCCTGTGACTGGAGTGTGTTCTCGCCTTCTCACACACACAGCCCTCCGCCTCCTCTCAGAACTCGCACCCTACCAGGCACACTGCGTCTTTTCTCCATGTCCATAGGCACCCGCTCTGCATTTTCTTGGTGACCTCATGAATCACCCCTTGCTCTACCTGAGGCACAAAGTGGTCTTGCCACTGACCTGCAGCTGTCATTGTCCCATCCTTAGAACTCTTGGGTTCTCCAAGTATTTCTTTCTATAAAAATAGGTTCACTGCCTCCTTTTATACCTTAGCGGACAGACCTTGTGAGCTGGAGCCTTCAGCTAAACAGGAGAGCTCTGCATGAAGAGGTGTTATCTCTGGATCTCCCTGTTCACTGTGAAATCCCAAAGCCCACCAATTTGCCCATCTAGAAAGAGAAACTCAGGTGATTAACAGAGCATCCATCACTTGACTAGCTGCCAAAGCTTCAACTTAAGTGTAACTTGCTTGAATAACAGCAAGGATTCTTTTATTGCTGCCTCTGGGGCCAAAATGCTGAAATAAGCACTTATATTAATTAGTGACATCTCATTTCCAAGGAGTATAGAGTGTTGATGATTAAGAATGTAACCCCCAAAAGTATTTATCAACAAGAAAATCATAGCACTAGAAAATAAATATGCCAAACCACTGTACTACGACAGAAACCAATTGTTTATCCAATTATACATTAAAGTATCACACTGTCGAGCGGATTGCCAAAGCAGCAGCTGGAACTGCCAGTATCGCAGTTTGGACCAGACATGACTCCACTAACTGTGAATTATCTTGGTCCATCTCGGGAACCCTATAAAACCTGTACACATCAAGGTGGACATTGCAGGTTTGCAGGGGCACAGGCCGGCCTGCCATCCAGAAATCACTTGAATTGATTGGACATCAAAGCTTGCAATTTTCCAAGGAGAGCTTGTTAGAAGCATCTCCGCAA